TGGGGTATGCTAGGAAACGTAACCTGCGTCCTCAGAGAGGAGCTTAATGCTGAGTAGTTCAGAAGAGGAAATCACAGCACGCGATGCTGGCAGCATTAGGGTTTGAAGTGCCTGGGAGCCACACTCACAGAGAGAGGCATATACAGTACCAAAAGTATGTGGACACCCTAGAATCGATTCTCAGGAGGTCAGCTAAAGGCTTTTTGTGTTATGAAACCTTCACCATTCAACTCCTAGTGGTCGATAACCTACAATGACATTTTCGGCAAAAGATTTCGTTCTAACTTAGCGAACTATTTTTCATGGAAAGTTTTTTCTTTGTATCAAAATTATGTGGACACCCTGAGGCAGATGAAGTTTTTGCATCGATTTCCTAACCTATTTTTACTTCTCCTTTCGTTACTTATTCTGGCATCATTCCTCTTCACGGCAAGCGTTTTTCTGAAGAAGACCGAGCACAGAAATGGGATCCCCATGCTTCTGAACCTTCCTATTGCGACACGTCAACCAGTCATGCGTCCTCGTAGGTTTGGAGAGAAATCCGAAATCCTGATGCTAAGCTCTCGACCTTGACTGAGGGTTGTTCTCAATCGCTACTTGTTCAAAACAGGAGAAGAATAGCCTTAATTTTCTCAAATTATTCTTTTCGTACTACTCAACTTTACGCATAAATGATCTTCCCGATCTTAAAAAAGACCAATCGGTGTCTCATTCAATCAATTGAGCACACGACACGAAAGAAGATGAAGAAGGCTTTGTATATGAATGCGGGTTCAGGTTGGCAAGGTTGGAATTCCCACTCAAAAAAGGATCACAACATGATACTTTGAACCCACACAGACAGTGCTTTCGTGGAAATGGTAAAATTAGTATAAAAGACTTTCTGTGGAAATTTCTCTCATAGACCAACTCGACTGGCAGAAAGAAGCTTATTCCTTACTATTCGGGTGGGTCTTGAGGTTTTTGGAGAGACTTTGGTCGGACCCGCAGATGTGCTCGAAGAGACAATTCGGAAGATGTTCATCAAAGGTCTGGGGTGGTTCCAAAAGGAGGGGACATTGAAGTTTGGCTTGCCAACATGTCAGGTAGACGACTAGGATTATAATGAGGTGCTTGAGTCCCGGCTACAACCTTTTTCGAAAAGTCATGGTTGCAAATCACTTGTTTTGCAGGGGAGGTCCCTGACACCATTCCATTTGGAAAAATGCTAAACGGCTTTGATTGGCAAGTCGGCTAGCGTATTCCTCAGACTTCATCCTTATTGAAAACGTAGAGGTATCGTGGTTCGCGGTCTCTACGTCATTGAACAAAAGAGTAATATCACAAGTGACCTAACACGTCGGTGAAATTTGCTAGTTGGGAACAGATCTGCAAGACATGTATCCAGACCCCATTCATAGCATGCCAAACAGAATGGCTCAACTTACTAGAAACTTTGGTAGGCCTACCGATTTCAGATTTTGAAGATATTGCCGTTTTTCAAAAAGTGTCCACATAATTTTGATACAAAGAAAAAACTTTCCATGAAAAATAGTTCGCTAAGTTAGAACGAAATCTTTTGCCGAAAATATCATTGTAGGTTATCGACCACTAGGAGTTGAATGGTGGAAGGTTTCATGACATAAAAGCCTTTAGCTGACCCCTGAGAATCGATTCCAGGGTGTCCACATACTTTTGGTACGCACTGTAGAAGAAGTGTCATGCATTTCTTGGTCTCATAAAAATGAGTTGAGCCATAAGTCTCTCGCACATTCGAGCCACATCAGTAGAGAATCATCTAGAAATGTGTTCCACTGACACCCTCTTTCGCCTGCACGTGGATGGCTCGTAGATACCTCTCCTTTGAAACGGTGCAGCTAGACCTTGAGAAATCTAATGAAAGACTTTTCGACACCGTAGGTTCCTGAAGTTTTGGCCGTCCGAGTGGCGTTGGTCGTTCAAAAATAGTGATTCGAAAAGTGAGAGATCCGACTATGACAGGCTACTTCATTGTTCGTGTCCTGTGTAATGTATGGTGTACCATCACCATGTTAGAAGCAAACATTGGCCTGCTATCCCCTAGAGGGGAGATGGCTCTTCAAGTGAGCAACAAAGACGTCAGCGGTTACTGTATTATCATCGTGTTCAAGTTCCTGAACACTACGCAAAGGAGGTTTCAACAGATGCATTACTTCTTTTTCTTCCCATACAGTTCTGGTTGCAGGACGTTCTCCGCTAAGCCTAATTTGTCTGCGTTGGGCACGGCGGACACTTCTATAGGAGCCGGAATATAGGACACACTTCTCATCATCAGCAATCCGGATTGTCGAACTAAGTGTGTATGCCCATGGAAGGAAAAAAACAACGACATGTTGACTCGAGCCCGGTGTTCCCATCGCCAGCATTTGTTACAGTTTTGAGCGTGTATGAATGCTACGCGGTTTTTCCAGTCTTTCGTCTTGCTTTTCGAGCAAATGCAATTTTCTCGTTCTAATCGTGAACGACGGGTCCCAAGGCAGTGGTTTATGGGTGAGTAAGAGTCATGAATTTTTCGAGAGGTATTTCTTCAAATGCATTCCAAACGCGTTCGATAGGATTTGAGTAGTAGAAGCGGGCAGGCTTAATCAATCGCCGAATATCTTTCCGTTCTCCGGGTTCCACCTCAGCTCTTCGGTGCGCTCACACATTGTTTTAAACAGAAATGAGTTTAGAGTCGAACACACCTCTGAAGAGACGGACATCAGGAAAGGCTACAGCATCGAATAACGCTGATCGGGAAATGAGCCTGGAGGTCAGCCCGCCCTGGCAACTTTACGCTACCCCATACCATATCGCTTGGACTATAAACAATCATGTTTGACAATGATCCCGGGTGCATTCCTACTTGCCATGTGCGAATCACCTCATACTCAATCTGCCCTCAGCTGAGAAGAGCACTTGGTGCGAATCACCTCATACTCAATCTGCTCTCAGCTGAGAAGAGCACTCGAGCCTGCTTATCACTGGTCCATTCTCGATTTCTCGGCACATGTTCTTACCGATGCATGGGATACAACGGAACACCAGGCACTGTCCGTTGGGCAAGGAGAATATCCCTATCGCGCCACTTTCCGAAGCGGGATCACATGCCCTACAATCCTGATAAATATTTTTGCAACTGCAGCATGTGACTGACGTGGGTCCATTTTTGCCTGTAGCAAAACCTAGCAATCACCTGCTGCTGCGGTTGTTCATGACCCACGACCTCCTCTTCTGTGTGCAGCAGTGGTTATTGTCCATATCGCTCTTTATGCACGTAAGGCAATTTTATGAGCAATATAAGCCCCTAGACTGCACTCGTGTTACATCTTCATTCTACTAGTCTCCCATCGATTCATCCTCATCTCTTCCTCGTGTGATGTCACCCTAGTGTTATCTCTGAGTCTTGCTGTAGTGAACAACGCTACTACGGCCTACAGTAACTTCCCGCTAATTGATGCATTCCCTCTCATCTTCTTCCGTCGACCCCATCATGTCGGCGAGACCCATTTGACTCCAGACTGAAGCGGGCTGCATGATATACGAGGTTCAGGAAACCGTGCATCATTGACCTTCATTGAAGACCTTCAGCATCAAAATCAAACAGTTTCATCCGATTTCCTCAAGTTTTTGATGGGTTGTGCTTTTGTATCCACCTATACCCTAGATTTTACACCCCAGTGTGTAATTTTGAGTGTATGTACCACGAAATTCGTAGCGCGCGGGGCAGCAACAGTGAGGTGTAAGCCCTTCCGGGTGGTGCAGTGGTGAAAAGAAAACAAGGTGGCTAACGAAAATGGCAAGAGCATATGGGGAGTGGAGCAAAACTCACTATAGCGAATTGATAGGCAAGTATTGATGACTTCAAATGCACAAAATTCTTTTTACCTGTACGCAAGCAGCATCAAATGAATGATCTTGCCAAAGATCCGATGCCGCGGGGTCTGACTTAGGGAGCGGGATTCCTACTGCTGCTGTTTTCGAATTTACAGCTCCGAGTTAGATAATCGACTTGCAGGTTTGGAAGGCAACTTTGAGTGTTTTGAGACGACTGCCAATGTGGTATATGTGTAATACAAGGTGGCTAAGAAGTGTACAACGCGACGATGAGTTCTCGCTGGCTACTACTTTCGAAACAAGGGATTTTTTTGAAACTTCAGTCAGATAGGGTTGTAGAGATAAGGGCGCTCATGGTTTGGGGGACATTCAAACAGCGCGTTTGAGAACCGCTGGTAGATGACACTATGAGCCCATGGAAGGAGAGGAACGCCAGGGAAGATAGAATTTGGTTATAACTCCCACAGAACTCTAAGCACTTTGCTAGGAACTTTGATCTCAGGTATACAAATCAAACAATGATGTTGCGGACACTACTTCACGGCGCGCATCAGCATCATTCACCGCCGGACTTTAACCGATGAACTCCTTTGAGCAGTGACTTTTTGGAGAAAAGAGACTAAAGATACCTGCACATTTAGTTGTAAGCTGTGAATGTAAAGCTCCAGAAGCAGTGAGATAATGTCATCGCCGACTATGTACCTGATTCTGTCGTTGGACGTTTAACGTCCGACGACAGAATCAGGTACGTACTCGGCGATGAAAACAGACGTGTAGAAACAGAAGGCCTTCCCCTGCAACGAGACCTTATCTCATACCAGTGTTTCCTACTTAGGTTAGTATGTGAAGAGGATGAAGGCAATAACTTGGAAAACGAATGAAAACCACATGTTCCTTCCTATGCGAGATGAGAATTGAAATCGAACATTGAATACATTTGCGAATCGCAATCAAAGGCGAAAGTGTTAAAAATTACACCATCTATTGATTGGCTTTCGATCATTTGAGATTCACCTAATAACGAGTTTGGCGTCCCCTCACTTTCCCCCTGATAACCTCCACCCACACCCTTCCCCTACCTGTTCCCCACCCCATCTATAAATTTGTCATCCAACAAAGCTCTGCTTCATGTGCGAGTACATCAGCTGACTGATTTTAATATTCAGGCATTACAAGGCCCAGTTCTGGAGGATCAAACAAGCGGAAAGTATCACTTGGTGATTGGATTAAGGCCACGTTATGTGTCTGCCGAGTACCCAGTATTCTACTACTACAAATCGAATATCTTGGAAGTGGAAGTACGTGCATAGCTTTAGCATATATCATACATGTTTCTCATTTGGAGAAGACGTTACTGTGCAATCTGAGGGGAACTCTTTGAGAGCGTTGCACTTGCTGAATCATAATAATTCCACGCCGGGCCAGACTCTTTCAAGAACACTTCGTGAATGCATACGTGACTATCGAGGTTCCTACTTACTACAAAGCGCTTCGTCTGTCGTCTGTCGTTGTGTATCTCAGTCACGAGAATTCCCTAGCTCCTTGGAATCGCCTGGAGGGACCGGGTCAAGTGTAAAATGGGTGAGCAAGGTCTCTCGAAAAGTACAAACACACAAGCGGAGCCCCGCCCACAGTGGGCGTGGCGTGCATCGAGGCGAACTGCACTGAAAACCAAGATTTCAAATTCTATTCCAAAACTGCCTCGAAACCGGGGAAAAAGAGAGTAAAGGTGCGCATTGGTAAGACAAATCGAATGAGGAGGCCCAGGCTCTCTAGAAAGTGGTGCTCAGTGAAAAAATTCATAACTCGGTTAGGAGAAAGCCTACAGAGCAGAAAAAATCGGTGTAGGCAATGTCTAAGGTGTTTCCAGCATACATGACGTGAGCGGAGGCCCGCCCACAATGGGCGGAGCGTGCCTGAAAGTGGACAGCGTTTCCTACAAGTCCTCATAATTCGGTTCCGAGAAGTCTTAAGAGCGGGAAAAGGTGGATAGAGGTCAGAGAAGAGGGGGAGGTTGAATGTTAATGGTGGGCGCGGCGTGCACAAAAGTGGGCAGGAGCTTGCTAACAAATTTATCACTCGGTCGCGGCGACGAAAAAAGACGAGAAAAGTGGATAGACGTGTGTGAAGCATATAAAGTTGGCTGCTATTGGTTGGTGGGGCGTGCGCCAGTGAGTTTGCGTCGCTGTTATATTTGGTCCAAAGAAGTCATGGAGAAGGGGAAAAAAAGTGGGTCGCTTTTGACAACGGAAGGAAGGTCAATTGCTATTGGTGGACGAAGCATGCGCCAAAGTGGGCGGATGTTGGTGGATTTATATCTTGGTTCCAAAGAGTTTCAGGAGCAGAAAAAGAGCGGGTAGTGGTTGACAAAGTGGGTGGATGAGGCGGATGTAATCTAGCTTGAGAGATAAATATTAGTAGCGTAACGGGAAAAATTTGAAAATTCACGCCGCATAACCCATATCGCCGCAAAAGGGAAGCGGCCTACTAAGCCAGCAGTAACCGAAGGGACGAAACGTTCTTATTAGGCTACTTTTGCATAAGCATTGAAGCAGCGCCTGAATTATAGGCAAGTTTGAGGGTACCAAAAAAGGAGGAAGAAATGTGAGGTAGTAAGCGCTTACTCACTTGACGGCGAAGAAGATGCAAAATATACGCTGAAAATGTCCTGAATAAAACTGTCACAACGGTAGGAATATTCAGTAGCCACGCCCCGAGAGTACTGGGCGCCCAGGAACAGGATAACGGATTAAAACGATACAGCGCAGCGCCTGCCCTATAATGGACAATGGCAGACACTCGAGGAGGTGCTGGTCGAGATATCACGCACGAAAACTCGGTCCTTAGGTTCTCCTTTTAGCCTAAATATTATAGTAGCAAGCTGATTTCTCGCCTCTACTGCTGGATAGGCTTCTTTTTGGTTACGTCTGCTTCCAATAACGCAGCGGGTGTGATATGTGCCTCGCAGGAGAGGAAACCAGTTTTCGCGCTAATCCCTAAGACGTACCCTGATTTCCCACTCCGAACTCTCCTCCAAGCCGTCTGGTCACACATGACGGGCTATTTCTATGGCTGGTGAGTTTCGAAGTCAAAATCGATTTCTCCTGAAACCTCCATTGTGGGGTGAATTACTGCCCTGATCACGGGTGTGGGCAGGGTCAACCGTCCGTTGGACAAAGTCCAACGCGACGACGAGAGTAATGCCGAGAGTGAACGTACGCACGGAGACACAGACGGCTCGCGGGTGGCGAGAGTGAATGCCGGCGCGGAGAGCGGTGAACATCGGTCCAACGTCGCTCCAATATCGGTCCAACGTAACGGTTGACCCTGGTGTGGGGCTCCTCCACGGGATCTCCCCCATTTGTCCCATTTTGGCGTCATAAGATGTTTTTCCGATTGATGGAGAAATTTCATCTTTGTGGAGCTCTTTGGAACCCAGGTCAAGAATTTGATTGCACTATTTTGGAAATAGTGCAGTTTGGCGCTCTTTATGATACGCCAGCCAAAAGTGCAATAGTGATCGCCATAGGGAGTGGAATCAAAGACTGTCAAGGCCGCCGTGCCAACCCCTCAAAGCTACCCCTAGACCACAGTTTCACCGCAGGGGGGCTTCCTACCGGCAACGCTCACGAAACTAGCACACTTCACCATCAGCTACGAATAACCCCTCAGTTTGTCCAAACTACTTGTTGTTTTCAATGTCAATGAATTCGTTCAAAAACTGAACCATAGTTTCGTGGTTCCCCCTATGCACCCATATCCTGCAAAGCCATTTCGAGCTGGCACCCTCGGATGACCTGACCCTGTGTTTTGGTAAGCAATCCGAAGAACCGTTAGGATTGCTGCGCGTTCGAATTGCTGCCGTACATCTGTCACAAATTTTGGGCAGGAATGCATCCAGTTCTCGGACCGCTGACTCACTGGAAACGGTTTTGTCCATTTCACCTATGACAATAACATTTTAAACTTCTATTGCATCCAATCCTATTATGCGATTTGTTTATTTTTCTAGCTTTAACGCTATAATTCAGACTTTCCAATGTGTTGCCTGATACGTGGGTTTCCCGCGCTGTACTTTTTTCCATGCGCCTCCTTTGACTCTGCCCAACAGCTTAAACTGGTTACAAAATGAGATTTCCGAAGTTTTTCCTTGAAAAACTCAATCACCATGAGAAATTCTGTATGCCATCTCTGGAGGTCGCAGTGTGTCACTTTTATGCACGAAATGGAAGAAGGCATCGTTCCATGGACGATTCCTTCAACCCATCATAACCACTGTCGCGAGTGATGCCTGACAACCGGGATGCTCGTTCTTAGAATAGATAGCAAAGTTTGAACAACGAGTTATTTGAGAGTCCTCGTCAAGAGTTTGGTTGTCTTTTTATTGGACCAGTCGGATAGCCCAGCTGTCGCCGGGCTCTCCTTTTTTTCTCATAGGACCGACGTAGTCGGGCGACTGTCTTTTCACAGGTTAGGCAAAATAGCCTCCCGAAGTAACAGTCCTCGACCAATAACATATTCAATTTATTTTGGATATTATTCACCTAAAACCAAATATCGTCGACTATCACCACTATAGCAATTTGGAAAGCGGTGGTAGTGTAACGGAAGCACTATGAGACCGAGGAGGCAGGAGTAAGCAGGGTACTGACTAGTGATTCTAGCAACTCCAATTGTTTGAATGGACCTCTGGGCTATCTCAAAGAATAAGCTCTATTTCCTATCACCAAGTGTCGAAGACTAACCTGCGCGTCCAGTTAAGCTCCCGGAAGAAACCCCCAGAACACATAAAGTACTGTTGAGTGACACACGACGCCAGGCAAAAGAAAACATCATGCAGAAGCTGTACTAGAAACTAACAGCCCCGAAGATGTTCAGAATAACGACATCACGTTGAAATGAAACATCTACGCTGATTTAGACCACAGTCTAATGAGCGCATGATTTCCCATTTTCTTCTCCTGTGCCCTCCATTTGCCACGGTGGCACCATGTAGAATGACTGAGAGTCTGCTCAAAGGCATGCGCCAGGATCGCACTGGTGTGGCTTTTGCACACGAATGTGAATGTATCGGTGCCAAGACCAGTCGGATAGCCTCAGCTGTCGCCGGGCTCTCCTTTTTTTCTCATAGGACCGACGTAGTCGGGCGACTGTCTTTTCACAGGTTAGGCAAAATAGCCTCCCGAAGTAACAGTCCTCGACCAATAACATATTCAATTTATTTTGGATATTATTCACCCAAAACCAAATATCGTCGACTATCACCACTATAGCAATTTGGAAAGCGGTGGTAGTGTAACGGAAGCACTATGAGACCGAGGAGGCAGGAGTAAGCAGGGTACTGACTAGTGATTCTAGCAACTCCAATTGTTTGAATGGACCTCTGGGCTATCTCAAAGTAGACGAGAATGAAAAATAAGCTCTTAGCTTTCTATCCCCAAGGTATGTCGACAAGACTAACGTGCGCGTCCAGGTAAGCTCCCGGAAAGAAACCCCCAGAACACATAAAGTACTGTTGAGTGACACACGACGCCAGGCAAAAGAAAACATCATGCAGAAGCTGTACTAGAAACTACCAGCCCCGAAGATGTTCAGAATAACGACATCACGTTGAAATGAAACATCTACGCTGATTTAGACCACAGTCTAATGAGCGCATGATTTCCCATTTTCTTCTCCTGTGCTCCTATTTGTTTGCTCACGTGAGTGGCTACCCCATGAAGGAATGACCGAGATCGTCTGCTTAAAAGGCATGCCCCAGGATCGCACTGGTGTGGCTCTTGCACACGAATGTGAATGTATCGGTGCCAAGTGGGCCGGCAGTGAAGAAAAAAGGAAAAGAATCCGTCGAAAACGCTCAGGTTGAGGGCTCACTCACCTTCCTAATTGGCTGTGCTAAAGGAACGAGAGACTAAGCGCGAAGAGGAGAGTATGGGGCGAGAGAGCGCATCAGATGAGAGAGCACCAGACAACGGCCTGATAAGAGAGCTCGTTCGCTGCAGCTCGAGCAGCTTACTTTGCAAGCCCAAAGCGTTCTTGTCGGTCGAATTCCGTGCACGTGAACGCCACATTTGTGATTGTCCCCTAGGGTTCTATACTTCTGACCGAAGAGAGAAGAGTTCACACGACCTCTGCCTGGGTTGTGCCTTCAAGCGATGTTTACCTAGCCATTATGGGTGCTGTCACAATCATAACTTGATAAAAGCGGCCACACTCCGTTCTTGTCATCCCCCTCTCCCTCCCACAATGGATCACAAGCGTAGCTCTTTGAGCTCCCCGGTTCTGTTACTCAGGACAGACAGAATTTCACAGACATACAAAGGCATACACATAGGAATACACATCGACAAACCGACATACTAAAGTTGTGGCTTATATAATGAAGAAACCACGAAATTTCGAAAGGCTTTGGCATCTTTCGACGTTATTGTTTATGTTTGTTTTAAGGACGCGAAGTCTACTTCCGAACCGTACCTGATGAAAGGCGAAGGATTCATGTTTGGAACCATTACAGTGAAAGTAAACGGAAGAATGGTGATGTTAGTCTGAAACTTTCTTATCAAACGACATCATAAGTCATTAGGCATGAAATGACCCGGGAAACACTCCCTACTGTTATCACAAGTATGCTGAGTTATGAGCAAAGTCT